CCTCTAGGAAGAGCTTGACCATCACTTGATTTTGGATTGGGAAAATGCAAGGGATAAGGAGAGGCATGACAAGCAGATTGAGGAGGGCAGAGCCTTCAAGTTCCTGGYAGGCTTAGACCCTATATATGAAGGTGTAAGGTCACAGATTCTAGGGAGAGACGAATTACCTGAAATTCATCATGTTTACTACCTAGTGAGGAATGAAGAAGTAAGGAGAAAGGAGAAAGGAGATGCAAGTTGATTTCCAGACACAAGCAACAAAACTATCTGGAGAACATTCAGCCTTAGTCTCCACTAAGGGAAACAGATTTTCAGACAAGAAGACCCTCAAGTGTACCCATTGTGGTGGTGAGAAACACACAAAGGAGAAATGTTGGGTATTGTACCCTCATCTGAAGCCAGCTGCTCTCAGAAAGGACAAGTGGGAATCTTGCCACCAACAGCAGTAGTGACATCTCACAGAGTACTCAGCCAGTGTCTTCCTCCACCACAAAGCAGGTTGCTGATTTTGTTGGACCAAGTACCTTGGGATTTACAGCTAGTGAGGTAGAGGTTCTCAGTCGGGCATTAGCCCGTCTGAAGAACAATCCTTTAGCTTCCACCTCTCTTGYCAAATCAGGTACAGCCTCTGCATTTAGTGCAACTAGTTCCATTAATTCTAGCTCTTGGGCGATTGGCTCAGGGGCCACTGACCATATGACACACATGTCCTCGTTATTCTCCTCATATCATTTGTTGTCTGGCCAGGATAAGATGAGAGTAGCTGATGGGTCACTCTCCACCATCTCGGGAAAGGGAGTGGTTGACCTAAGCAAGGATCTCTCTTAAATCAGTCTTACATGTTCCTAGTCTTACATCAAATCTGTTGTCTGTTTCAAAGCTTACAAGAAATTTGAACTGTAGTATAACTTTTTTTCCCTCTCACAGTGTCTTCTAGGACAGATTGACGAGGAGAACGATTGGGAGTGGTCGTGAGTATGAGGGCCTCTACTATTTTGATGCGGATGTCAGCTCAACACTGCAAGCTTCTGCTACTACTAGTCCAGAAAGTGTGGAGTCAAGAGCTAGGCTGCACTTGTGGCATGCTAGGCTAGGTCACTTGTCCTTTTCTTCTTTAGCTATGTTGTTTCCCGATTTATGTAAGGGAATTCCGAGTCAAAGTTTAGTTTGTGATGTGTGTCAAATGTCAAAACAATGCAGATCAATGTATCCAATTTCTAGTAATGAAATACAAGCCTCTTTTGATTTGGTCTATTCTGATGTTTGGGGTCCTTCACCCATTGTTTCCATTGATGGCTTCCGTTATTTTATCAGTTTTATTGACCATTATTCTCGGTGCACTTGGATTTATCTGTTAAAAGGACGTGAAGAAGTTCCACGGATAACTATGATGTTTTGCAAGATGATTGAAACMCAATTTGRKAAGAAGATTAAACAATTCCGTTCAGACAATGCAGCTGAATACTTTGAAAGATCCCTAAACTCATTCATGGAAG